TAAGGTGCCAACATACACCAGGATAGACAGTGCGTCTTTCAATTTTGTCTTTTCCCTTAATTATGAGGCAGAGGAGGGGAAGACTTTGGAAAGTACCACTGAAGGATTATTTAATGTTGAATTTTATCTCACATCAATACTGCACGACAAAATCCAAGAAGTTTGTGTATGCAAGGAAGCTAAGAACAATGATCCATTCCTCTAAATTTGAAGATCCTTTTTTTTTTTTTTTGTTTCTTTAATCCTTAGCAAACTTTTTTTTTCCCCCCATTATCAAGAGGAGAGTGTGAGAAAGATGTGATGGCAACCCTTACGGTCATTTAAAAACTTTACACTGGACTGTACAAGATTTTTTTTGATAAACTATTTACATTTTCAGACTTTCAAACATATTCAAAGCAGCAATAGACACTAGGGTTTGTTGTTTTTTTTTTATGATTTTTGTTTTTCTAATTGCCCAAATAGTTACTAGCCATGGGCCAAATAGGTACTTGCATTTTATACATAGAATTTCTACAAAGAAAATCTGCAGTTAAAATTTGCTTTAGGGTGTATTCAATGCCCTTTGCATTTATTTCAAGGGCTACACCCACAGTGTTGCTATAGGAACCAAAGCGCAGTACCTTGACAACAGAGTTGCAGTTGTCCCAACAGCCCTACACGAACTTTACAATTTGAAACAGCAGCCAGCATGTCAGTCCAGCATGTCAGTGAATTGTGCTGATTAAATTAACATAGAATACAATCTCACAATATACATCACAAACAAATTACAATGTCAGGAAATGAAAGAGTTACAGTAAGATAAGTTATGTAGTAACAGCTTATAAGCTTGTCTAAGGTAATAAAAATTTTACATGGCAAATACAATAATGGATGAACATAAATGCTAAGCATTCTAATTTGCTACAAGCTGGAGGAGGGTACAATAAAGACTGCACTTTCAAAAAAAGCAGAAACACTTATGACCAAGGAAGACGAACGGAGAATGCACATTGCAGGCCGGCAATGCGCAGCACACGAAACAGTTAATATTTGCACATTCCCCATACTCCAAGAGCACTAGCACTGAGGCCTCATCTTATGCTGTGGTTCTTCAGGAATAGGAAACTACTGCGCAAGATGTGTCACGGAGTTGCCTTCAAACTTTCATATTGCCACGGACGCTGATTTGAAGAGTATCTGCAATATAATGCACTAAGCATTACCTTCCTCCCCTCTCCCCACCCTGCCCTCCCCCTCCCCCAAAGGGACCCTCATCCCAATCCTTGTTCTTGAATTCTTGGAAGGCAGTCTGCCCCCAAAGGAAAGGATGGGCTGGGGGGTGAAAAGGAAGCCTGCTTGCATAACAAAAGCCCAGGGCTACACTCAACAGAACACAGCATAACAGAGCATAATCGGTAGGAACAACAGCTAGAAGGTGTTTATTAAGGAAGAAAACACATGGGGGGCAGGTCATTTAAGGAAATTATGCAAGTGCTTTTCATGAAAGGATGAATGAGGCCATATATATTGTTATACTTTTGAGAAGTGAGCTCAAGTGCCAACTCAATCCTTAGACAAATGTGTACAAAATCAGGCAAGGCTGCAGCAACCATGTTTGTCATTTTCCGATTAAAAAGGAAGACCTAGTAATGATTTCAATACATTCCTCTAGCTGCATTTCTTTGCAGTTGTTGGCACAGGGCTTCTCATATGGTTTGAAACTAAGTGATTAGTTTTCCTTTCCCAAACGAGTAGGTAGCAATCATCTCTCTGCAAAATGAGTAAATTTAGAGACATAGCCTCAGTCCTGATGTTCAAGTGAGCCGGCTGCTTTCCCACCAGGGGCAGGAGCTTCCTGGAAACAATCCCTGCTTTCAGCCAGAGCTTCTGGCTCAGAGGGTGTACCGAAGCAGCAGTCTGTCTTCATGAAGGAAAGAAAGCAGCCTTTAATTTCAGCTGGAGAGTGATCACACCCTTTTTAAACGCCCTAGGCTCCCAAGGGGCTAATGTTCAGAAGAGGCCAGAATTTGACAAGCTTTGCCACACTGTGACCCAACACCTGAATTTAGAACTTCAGGCAGGCAGTGTTAGGACCCTGGCAGATCAAATCAGCCCACAGCAAGACTGAAGAGTGTCAAATACCAAACGAAATAAAGGAACATGCTCCCAACAGGCTGAGCTGGAAGTCCGTGGAAACAACAAAACTGTCGTGCGTTTCTGGAAAAGATACTACATCACACCTGCCAATGAACTAGAGAAAATGCCTGGCTGCCTGTGTCCAAACATCAATAACCTTTGCTTCTCTCTTCCCATTTCTTCCTTTCTATTCCATATCTGGCTTTTAGAAGAGGATTGTCTGCTTGTGCCCCTCATCTGGCTGAGAAGGAAAACCTAATCCTGTGAGACTGTTAACAGAGCAGAGATCATTTATATCTTTGATTTGAAGGTACCATGAAATAAGCACTGAAAAAAATAATATTCTTTATATTTAATAATAATAATAATAAAATTGGCATGGTGTGGCTTTTATTAATAGCCAATAATGACATTAATGGTTCCTGCTATTAAATGTGGTCACAGAACTGTTTTCTAAGTTCTGGGTGGATTCACAGACCAAATTGACTCTCTCCCAGCCAGACTGGAAATTTAGAACATTCAATTCATCAACTTTCTATAAGAAAAAGAATGTAAAAGTATGAGTCTGCAGACAGTGAGTTCTAGGCTATGTGAAAACCCAGCTGAAGGTTTTGCTGTCTCTGCTTCAGGCCCCACACTGCTCTCTCATACTGCGGCTGAGAATTCACTAGCCTCAGGATGTACAGTGACTTGTCAACTTCTTGTCTGGACCAATATGTGTGGCTACAGAACAGAAAGGAAATACATAACTTATACCTCACCAAGTATTCACGAATCAAAAATAAAATTCTATTTCTATGTTATATTTACACAATTAGAAAAATCTAAAATGAGATGGTAAAGTCATAAAAACTTTGTTTTAAGCCCCACTTAAAAAGAAAATGAAGTGATCCCTATGATTGTCATCCTCAATTTCCATGGATATTTAGAGCCACAGTTGGCTAATAAATAAGCTGCTTATACAAAGAATTTAGATTCAAAGATAAAATCACTGTTTGACCCAATGAAAGAGACGTTTATAATTAAGATCATTCCTGAATAGCCTTTCATTTTTGAGAACATGGCTAGAAGTAACTGAACCCCAGTACTGAGGCAGAGCTGGAGCTAAAACAAAGTGTTCATACACACATGTATTTTGCATAAATAAATGAAATAACAAGACATAAAAATGACTCAAATCCGGCAACTGTGAGGCAAGCCCACACGAGTCGAAACAGATGACTTTTGTTCATGTAGTTTTCGTACAACAGTTTCACATTAGTCAGAAGTGATAAAAAATACCATTTATATCCAGTGCTTATAACACTTACGAAACAACATCTGTGAGTGTGTGTGTTTTTTTCTTTTTCTTATTTTTTTCTTCTTTTTTTTTTTTTTTTTTTTACTACAAGCAAAATCAAGTTTCAGTCCTAAAGAACAGTCCTTTGTTCTCCACCAGCCCAGAATATTATTTTGGCATGGTCATAAAAACAAACAAAATTAACCTACTATTCTAAGTGTTTGCCTTTGTGCAAAATTAATTACATACAATACAATGCTAGCCATACAGCACTCTACATATGCAATGAAATAAAAAGAGTGAGAAAGAGCAAGAGCCAGAGAGAAAAAGTGAGAATGAATCAAGGAGGAGAGGGATGTAATCAGAGAAATCAGTAAGACAATAAATATTCATTTGTTCTTTGAGAAAATGACCTCCTCCTCATTTGAAATAATTGTACAAATACAAGATTCCAATCCCCAAACAATATTAAGAACAAAACAATTCTATTAGTACCTTAATCAGCTTATAGAGAGCACTCCCAGCTAATGGTGTAGCTGGTAATACCTTGGCTGGACCTATTTATTGCTATTAGGTATGGCCTTGAGCACTCTTTAAATAAATATGCAGGTATACTATTTCTTTCATGTGGCAAAATGGCTCAAGAAATCTGATAGGGCTGTTCCTATGTCCTAGTGAGCAGATTCTGGGTTGTCCCATGAGGTGAACTTTCCTATTCACTGAATTCTCCCATCAAACCCCACAGGGGTTTGAATAGTCAGTCCTGGTATCAGGAAGAGCAAACTGGCATGGCGTTGAGGGATGAAACCCCTCTGCCTCCCAGCCTATCAGCAGGGAAATGCTCTGCTCCTGTGGCAGATGCACTTAGCCTTGCTCACATGCAGGCATGCCCCACTTGTGGCCAAAGATACAGACAGTCAGCCAGAGGAACTCTTGCGCTGCACCAGGAGAGAACCTGTTTCCCAGAGTGAACAATAGGAACACCCCATATAGGGAATGTAGTTCCCTCCTTCTCCTTCCCTACAGTTTTCTTTCTCTGATGTATCAAGACTACTGCCTCCCTCTTTGCTTTGAGGCTATCATGTGACTTTTTGTATCATGGGTGTTTCACAAAGAACTCCCTGGCCACATCAGCTGGGATGACACAACATGGGTAAAATTCCTGCTTTGGACAGCCTCCCTGTGGTCTCCTGGATGACCCACCACCCCTGACCTTCAGGTTTGGCTATGGGACTCTCCTGCCTGGTGTCACCACAGTTGACCCTTGCAGCTAAACGGAATTCAGGGTAATTCTACTGGTGCCAAACCAACCACGTGTTGCTCAATTTGAATTTGGGGGAAATTCTGTCAAAAGATTTGAGGTGATAGCAAACCTCAGGGTCATACCTATTAAAGTGTAAGGTTATACATGTATCCCCAAATACACATCTCTGTAATCAGACGTACATGCATGTTTAGAAACAACAACATAGGCATTTAATAGTATCTTGTTTCAGAAATGCTTCCAGATGTTCTGGGGACATAAAATCACTATGTACATCTTTTGTATATAGCAGGGGAAGGAGGTAAAAAGGACTGAAAAGTTCTTCTGGGAAAGAGAGTGGAAAACAAGAATTATTAAATTAATGCCACCAACAATATTTTTTTTAAATAAATAGTAAATGGACCCTTGACATTCTGGAATGAATAAATTATTTAAGAGAAAATGTGTTAAGACTGAATGTCAGGGTTAAAGGCAAAGGGATAATGGATGTAGTGAGAGGTGGTCTCAGGCAGAGAAGACCACCATGTCTGTATCTGTGTGGTGGTCGCTCTGTTGTGCAGACGTCATTCCACGTCACACTCTGATGGCACGTCAAGAGGCAAACAAAACTGGGTACGTGCACTGTGGCAACCTTGTTCGTTCCTTACAATATCTGGTTTCCAGATTCCTGAGTACTTTACCATTTTCTGGGCGTGGGTGTGGGGGAAGAAAAGGTGTAGTTTGCTATTTTATTTTAAGATGCCAAAGATTGTCTAAGACTTTGCAGTGTCTCCTTTAAGACTTTCAAAATATTAAGATTCAAAAGTTATGAAAAAGTTTGGCACATTCAAAGTTTAACTCTACACATGGAAAAATGGAATTCTGAGGCCTTTTGAATATGCTCTACATGCAGCTGCACACGCCGTGGACTTGTTCTGTTTCACAATAGATGAAATCCTCAGTTGTTTTCTAAAAGAATTCAGAATAAAAACACATTCACAACCTGTAGGCCGGCACAGCATACCTGAGTGAGAATGTTTAACCCCATCTAGAACAGTAACTTAAACCTTTATCAATATCCAAAAGGAAAAAAAAAGTAAGACAAAAATATAAGACTTGTAAGACAGCTATGGGTTGAGATAAGTTTTCAAGTCCTGGTGTCTCATATTTAATATGTCTTCACCTAAATTAAAAAAATAACAACAACAACAACAGCAACAACAATAACGACAAAAACTCAAGTTCATGAAAAATCAGGGAAAACTTAATCTGTCTCACACCTTACGAAACAATTAAGACCATTCTGCTGATGTAATTGTGGAGCCACAAATGCATGCGGGCTCTTTAAGAACTTTTTGTTGAGGGAGGGAGGATGAAATGTCAGAGTATTTTAATTCAGCAAACAAACACTCCTCAGTTGGCACTGACGGACTCTGGGGCTTCATTTTCACTGCTATAGTCTGATTTGGGATCATCTTCATAGTCGTCATAGATTTCCATTTCATCTTCTCCATTAATCATTTCATTTCCAGCTAGGCTTCCGCCGTCTGTCTTCATACCATAAGTGCTCTGGATAACTGGGAGGCTGGGCTCTGGGCTGGCAGAGGTGCTAGAGCAGTCAGATGTCATCTGAGGTGATGGTGTGGTAGTTGCCATAGTAATAGCACCAGGATACACAACACCTGTTCCTGTGGTGATTGGAATCTGAGGCTGCTGCCTGTACAGAGGGGAAAAAAATAAAACAAAGGAATAATCACTCTCCATCTACCTCCTCTTCTGTGCAGTATTAGAATTCATTTGGTGCATATTCCAAGGTGGGATCCTGTTTGATATTTTAAACAAATGACAAAATGTGACACAATGGCTCGGGGAGAGTCCTGAATGTATTACACCCCACTGCTGACCAAGACATTTCCACTCAGGGCAAACCTCCATCAGGTTTTCAAGGCTGTAAATCTTTCAGGTTGGAGACTGTATATCTTTCTCCCAAAGAACAACTGTTGTTATGCACAGTCAAGTCAGAATTGATTCACAGCTAACCTTCCAGTTGGTTTCTAGAGTAGTAAATTGCATGGGAGGAGATTGCTCATCTTTCTGCCTCTGAGAAGCTGGTGAATTCAAACGGTGCAGCTGGTGGATTTGAACCACGTGCCTTTGGGTTGGCAGTATGACTAGACCATCAAAAAGCAATGAGTGGATTAAAACTACATTATACACTATGCCCTCAGTACTCCTTCCTTGTGTTCTGATGGGAATTAAACGATACAGGCATACCTCTTTTCACTGCATGTCACTTGATTTCGGTTAACAGATACTGTATTTTTACGAATTGAAGTTTTGTGGCAATCTCATAAAAACCTTCCTGTGTAATTTACAAACTCTGAAAACATACCAGAGGGTTAGCAATGAGTTACTTCCAACTCTGATGTTAATGAGTTTATTTTTTGAGAGACACCATTTCTTTTTTTCCAACAGTATGTCCTTACTTCACATCTCTGTCACATTTTGGTAATTCTCACAATATTTCCAACTTTTTCATAATGCTATTGCCATGAATAGGCTACAGTAAGGTGTAAATGTAAGTTAGGTGCACTAGAAAACAGCATAATACATTATCTGTGAAGTATGCCTGTGTAAAGGAGCAATTAATTGATGAGGTTTGACAAATTCTTTTTAATATTGCAAATATGACAAAATTTGTTTGGAAGAAATGGTTGATATGTTAGAATCACTATGTGGGCTAATAATACTATCTTTAATAAATTCTTTCAGTCACTGAAACAAAACAAACTAACTCTTGGTGATCTCACCTATTACAAGGGAGAGCTGCTCCACCGGGCTTTCTTAGCTGTGATATTTAAGGAAGTTATTTGCAAGGCATTTTTTCCCCCACAAAACCAAAGAATTGTTTCAAAAGCCAATTCTGACGTCAGCAGCAAATCACATACAAATACAAAATCACATACAATTAACATGGCAATTCAACAACAACATTCTAATTCAAGTTTTTCAGATGAACGTAAGGGCTTGTTTTAGGTTACACATTTAATAATCAGCATGGCCGAAATTTGAACCTAAGGGAACAGATTAAAAATTCTATACCTCGGAGCTCTGGTGGCCTAGTACCAAGAAGTTGTACTGCCATCCCAGAGGCCTGCAGTTCAAATCCACAAGATGCTCTGCTACAGAAGGAGGGACAATCTCTTCCTATACCAGTCAGATCTGATTTGACGTTACACACACAAAAACAATAAAATTTTTTTAAAATTCCATAACTCTTTCATATTGTTGTTTCTGTTAGGTGCTGTGACTCAAGTTTGACCCATAGCAACCCTATGAACAAAAGATCTGAACCCTGTTCTATCCTGTGCCACCCTCACACTTCCTGACATGCAAGAGCCCATACATTGCAAGCAGTCAACATGAAATCCTGATTCCCTTAGGGCTTGTTGACACTCAGTATACACTAAGAACTTAATACAAATCCATTTTTATGATTCTCATTATTATTTTGACTGAAGGAAAGAGATGAAAGAAGCTAAATCTATGTATTTTATTGTTAATGTCATTTGAGTCGATTCTAACTCATAGCAACCTCATGTACACAGAGTAGGAGAGCTCTAGAGGCTGCTCAACCCTGTGACCTTTTGGAAGCAGTGTCAGGCCTCTCTGAGAGAGTCTGAACCAACAACCTTTAGGCTAGTAGTCAAGTGCTTAACATTTGTACCACTCAAGTGCTGTTAAGTCAATTCCAAGTCATAGTGAGACACACTATAGGACAGAATCTAATTACTCCTAGGGCTTTTCCAAGGTTGTAAGTCAGACGGCCTCATTTTTTTCTCCTGTGAAGCTTAAATTGTTGATTTTTCCATTAGTAGTCTGGCACTTAAACCATTGCACCACTAGGGCTCTTTTGTAACACCCAGAGGCTCCTAAATCTATTTATAGAAACATGTTATGAAAAAATAATGGGTTTTATATCACAAAATTAAATTCTAAAAACACTATATTTCTTGCTTTCTCAGTTTTGGACAAATTAACACTAATTAAATTTCATGCTAACCTGCTCATGGCAGTGAATGCCTCATTAAATTTTTATTGAATTTGGATAACTGCAATAAAAATATTTCTGATGTAATTATATGCAGGGTAAAATCTTATACTGAAATATTATCCCATTTTACAGATTTCATCAAGTTAGTAAGCATAATCTGTGATAGTAACTGCCTACCATTAATTGGCACACTTTCTTTTCAAAAAGAATAAATGGTAATTTTTGTAGCATTTTTTAAAAATTCAAATATACATTCCTCTAGCTATCTACGTTCGAGCTATCTATTTATCTATCTATCCATCCATCATCATTGTTGTGTGCCATTGAGGCCACAAAAGTGTCACAGCTGCAAGCAAGACCAGTTTTGTGATTTCAAGTTAGGAATTCTCTCCACTGCAAGAGAACTGCCTTCTTAGAATGTTAGTTATTGAGAACTGATGCCCTGTGACTACTGGCTCACACATTCCCTATCAGATATCCAAGGATGAGAAGAGCAATTTAAATCAAAGCATTCTAAACTAAGCTCTACATATCTAATGATACTCAGGCATTAAGTCAGTAATGGAATGGTAAAGAAAAGTAGACAGAATAGATGGAAAGAAATGTATTTATACAACGTTCTCTTTCTGGAGTGGGACATATATACTATCCAAGAGTACCCCTCGCTGGCCACTTCACACTCCAAGTCAGTGCTAAAGTCTACTGAAGTGTCTAGAGTTAAAAACCCAGAAGTGATTTGCCACTTTGAATAAATGAGGATAGACTAGCTCTGGCAATGGCCTCACATTCACAAGTAACTGCTTAAGGTTTATGTAAACGCTAGAGTGAGAGCTTATCCTTGTAAGACAGGAACTTCGTCCCAGCAAGGGCTCCAGCCACTTGTCAAATGTGGGACGGCCAGCATGCTGCTGCGAGGCTGGAAGCGATGTCACTGGTGTCTGAAATACTAGCGGGACACTCATGATAAAGAGGTTTCAGTGGCTCTTCAGACTAAGATAGGCTGAAGAGAAGAACCAGCAATCTACTTAAAGTTTATGAATCTCACAGAGCAATACCTTTACAGTATCAGAAGATAAGTCCTGTATGTTGGATGGCATTCAAAATATTACTCCTTTTAAAGCACAGTCCACCTTACTAATGAGAATTGTGGGATTTTCCTTTGATAAATCAACAAATGTGCATTCCCTTGTCTTTGCCCTGTTTAACAACCGGTATAAACCTCACAAAGAACAAGCATGCCTGAGTCTGGAAGGAGCCCAAGGAAATGACAGGGTGATGAACTTGACTATCACCTTGAATACCTGCCCACAAAACCCAGTCAGAATCAGCAACAGACTGTAGAACAAACTGTAACTGACGGCCAGCCCAAGAAAGTGCTTCCTTTTTTACTACAGTGGCGTAAAGAAGGCATTTGAGGTATGAAAATGCTTCTATCCTAGAAGAAATAACTGAAAAGGAAAAATCCTGCAGGACTGGAATATTTGGTTCTGTATGACCCCACTTCTTTTTTTCATCAAATGTCAGGTGATTACATGGTTTCATTACTTATCCTCAGATCTTTGCTTAAATGCTACCTTTTGAATGAAGTTTGTTTGGTTTTGTTTCCCCAAGACAATCTTTTTTAAAATTGCCGACCACTGTGCCTATTTTATGTCCTTCCCCTACATATCATCAGTTGTTATCCATTTATCTGATTTCTAACTCCCTCCTCTAGAATTTAAGCTTTGTGAAGATAGCGCTCTTCAGTGATTTCAGAATTTAGAACATTGCCTGGAACATAAGAGATACTCAGATGAATGTGTTCTGAATACCTGAAATAAATTAACATATAAACAAATTAGGTAGTAAATAAGAAAAAAAAAAGAAAAAGCTGGACAATTTACTCTAGAAAAGGTACAATGGTACTATCTAGATGGAAATAAGAATAGTAGAGAAGGGATACGAACATAATCCACCTTTAGATGTTTGAATGATCATACTCATAAATAAGATTTTTTTTCTAGGAGAAATCAAAGATTAGAATCAACCTATAAAATAACAGAAAATAAGATTGCAGTTCAGGTGAAAATAAGTACATCATGTTCAGAAAAGTCGGTTCAGCAAAAAAGAAGATGATTCTCAAAGAGACAGATTGGCACAGTGACTGCAACCATGGCGTTAAACACTTCAGAGACTGTCAGGACGGTGCAGATTGCAGGGGTAAGGAGGATTTCCTTCTGTATTATGGAGGATTGCTCTGCACTGCAGCTGACTCCAAGGCACTACCAACAAAAGCTTTAGTAGAGTCCTACAAACAACCTCCTCTTCTGGGAAGTGGTAATCCCTACCCCAAGAAAAATTCAGGCAAACTTGAAGAGAACTCCTACAATAGCTGGGTGTTTGAAGTAGATGACTTCTATGGCCATCTCTAAGCTACAATGGAACCTGTGCACATAAAAAGCATAAACTAATTGCTAGGCTAATCTTGCTAGCCCATTGCCATTAGTAGCATAAAAAAAAAAAGAAAAAGAAAAGAAAAATTAAGACAGCATAGCTAATTTCAGTCAAGCCTGGCTGTCAAGAACTTCTCAAGAGTGCTCTTTCCTAGTCGTATTTTTCCTTCAGTGCCAGGAGAAATTCCTGGGCTGATCTTCTCTATTATTGATAATTTTCACATATGTTCA